GCTTTTTGTTTTTTCTCGTGTTGTCTAGTTTGGTTTCAAACCGCCCTTAAAGTTTAAAGTGTTTAAAGCCCACCTGCGGTGGGTGAGGAAGCTCCCGTTGGCGTGTCCGGACCCGTCGCAGCCCGGGGTGGGGCAGGTGGGGCCCTCGGTTTTGAAGGCCTTCCAGTTGAAGGGGGTCCCGTTGAGGAGCCCCTCTTTCTGCCGGCGGGCGGCCAGCGGGCAGCCGTACGCGCTGCGGTGGGTGGCGTACTTCCCACTGATGTGGCCCAGGCTGTCACAGCCCGGAACCGGGCATCTGCAGAGAGACGAGGACAGGAGAGGAAGAGGAAGAAAGAGAAGAAGGAGAGGAAGTGGAAGGAGAATAACAACAAGAAGTAGAGGTGGAAAGGAATAACAACAAGAAGTAAAAGAAGTAGAAGAACAAGAACAAGAAGTAGAAGAAGTAGAGGTACAAGAAGTAAAATAAGTAGAAGAAGTATAGGAACAAGAAGTAGAAAAAGAAAAGGAAGAAGTAGTGGTAGAAGAACAAGAAGTAGAAGCAGAAAAGGAAGAAGAACAAGAAGTAAAAGAAGTAGAGGAACAAGAACAAGAAGTAGAAGAAGTAGAGGTACAAGAAGTAAAATAAGTAGAAGAAGTATAGGAACAAGAAGTAGAAAAAGAAAAGGAAGAAGTAGTGGTAGAGGAACAAGAAGTAGATGAAAAAAGGAAGTAGATGAAGAAAAGGAAGTAGAACAAGAAGTAGAAGCAGAAAAGGAAGAACAAGAAGTAAGAAGTCGAGGAACAAGAAGTAGAAGAAGAAAAGGAAGAAGTAGTGGTAGAGGAACAAGAAGTAGAAGAAGAAAAGGAAGAAGTAGGGGTAGAGGAATAATAAGTAGAAGAAGAAAGGGAAGAAGAACAAGAAGTAGAAGAAAAAAAGGAAGAAGTAGTGGTAGAAGAACAAGAAGTAGAAAAAGTAGAGGTAGAAGAAGTAAAGGTAGAAGAAGTAGAAGTAGTAGAAGAAGTAGGAGTAGAAGTAGAAGAAGTAGAAGTAGAAGAAGTAGTAGAGGTAGAAGGAGTAGAAGTAGAAGTAGTAGTAGTATAAGAAGAAGTAGAGGTATAAGTAGAAGAAGAAGAAGTAGAAGTAGTAGTAGAAAAGGAAGAAGAACAAGAAGTAGAAGAGGAGGAGGAGTGTTGAAGCCAGGCAGCGGGAGGAGAAATAAAAAAGGAAGCAAAAACATTAGACAAGAAGAATCCAAATTTAATCCGTAGAGAAGAAGAATTTGAGATTACTCTAATGAAAATGAAACGGGGGCTGATCAATTTACACCAAAATCTCACATCAGAATTACTCGGACATTTTGTTTCACAGGCATGCTGCTGTATTAACAGTTTTGTGTGCAAATGCAATATGAATATGAGGCCCATGTTGTTCTCATGTACTGTTTAATCCTCCACCATGAGCTAGATTTAGATTAGGATAAGCAGTAGGTGTAGAAGGCCTTCTTGGTTCGATTCAATCATGGGGGGGGCATGAGATTCACAGTAACTGTCCTCTCTCTGTCGCTACCTCTCTGCCTTTTTATTGCATTTTTACTTTTACCGTCAGTCACGCTAAAAGCAGGCGTTACGGCTTTTCTGAGCGGTACGAACTTTAAAAGCTCGGAGTCCTCCTGGTTGTCCTTGGTAGGAGTTTTAATTCCACTTTTCTTGGCACGCGGGCACCCAGAGAGACTGAAAACAGAAAGTACGGAGTTGATAACATAAGGTTGAGAAACGGTCTCACGGAGAAAAAGTGATAGCGTCATAAAAGGGAGAGCACATCAGAAGAAGAAGGAATGATTTTTTTTTTTACAACCCAAAAAAATAAATAAGACAAAACCAAATAAAAAACCAACCGGAAAAAGGCGCCTGCAGGTGGGAATATGTGCATGTGTGCCTGGCTAAATCTACCATGAGCTGTCGCTAGGCCTCACAGACTGAGTGTATGTATGTGGATGTGAGCGTGTGTGTGTGTGTGTGTGTGTGTGTGTGTGTGTGTTTTTGTGAGTGTGTGTTACCTTCGGTGGGAGGCGTAGTTCCCCGTGATGTGACCCGAACCATCGCACCCCGGAGTCGGGCATCTGGGAGGAGAAAGACTGGAATATGACCACCATCTTGGACACATTTTATACTGTTTAATTAACATTTTTGTAAGATTAACCCTTTAAAGCCTGATCCAAGAATGAAACAAAATAGAAAATTACTTTTTTTTTTTGTTTGAATTCCTTATTTGGCCTTTTAACAAAATACGTAAAAAGAAAAAACAAAAATACATTTTTGATGTTAATAATTTATTACTATGCGATAAGTCCAGATTATTTTTTGTGTAGTCTTCTGCCCCCTGTTATCAGGTGGATCTGATTGTGTACAATAGAATTTTGAGCAAAGTTTTTACCATTAAATTATGCAAAAGGTGTCAGACGCAAAACATTTCAGAAACCGTATGAATAAAATATGATACATTTGGCATTATAGGGTTAAAACAGTTTTTTCAGATCTTTTTACATCTAAAAGAAACTCTATTTCTAATAAAAATGCATATTTTGTTAACCTTATTTTTTAAACCTGTAATGCCAAATGTATCATATTTGATAGATGCGGTTTGTGAAATGTTTTGCGTCTGACACCTTTTGCATAATTTAGTGGTTAAAACTTTGCTCAAAATCCTATTGTACACAATCAGATACACCTGATAACAGGGGGCAGAAGACTACACAAAAAATAATCTGGATTTATCGCATAGTAATTATCAATATTAAATATCTATTTTTGTTTTTTCTTTTTACATATTTTGCTCAAAGGCCAAATAAGGAATTTAAACCAAAAAAAAGTAATTTTCTGTTTTATTTTATTCTTGGATCAGGCTTTACATATTTTGTTAAAAGGCCAAATAAGGAATTTAAACAAAAAAAAAAGTAATTTTCTGTTTTGTTTTATTATTGGATCAGGCTTTAAAGGGTTAAATCAATACCACAAATGACTCTATATGCAACAAATGAGCCTTGATTTGTGATTTGATTCGACTTGATTTATTAGGCATCACAAAATAAGCTCAGAATCTCTCCCTGCAGCCTGGAAAAGAGCTTCTCATATCATAAGTCGCCTCGAATTTATTTCAAAAGTCGGCCTTTTCAGGCTCATGGCCATTTCCTCTCTATTTCTCTGTGTGTTTCTGTGTAATAGCGAACAGAGAAAAGGCCCCAGTTTGGAGAACAGATCCAGATTTATCCCACATTCACATGAACCGGTTGAAAGGAAAAAGCAGGAGAAAAAAAACCCCCTAAAAGCATCACGACAGTCGGCAACAAAAGAGGAGTTAACATCAGCGGAGGGAAGCTTTTGGGCTGAAGTGGCAGCGGAAAAAAAAAAAAAAAAGGGCTTTGAAGGTGGAGAGCAGACATACTTGAGTTCAGGGGTGTGGGCCGCCATGAGGGACCGAAGGCTCTTATCAGCGAGAGGACACCCAGACAGACTGAGAGAGAAAGGGAGGAAGAGGAGGAAGAGGAGGGAGGAAGAGGAGGAGGAGGAGGGAGAAAGGAGAGAAAGATGTGAGTGAAGGGAAATCAAGAATGCAAGGCATAGCAAGGTCATTTAGGAATAAGAGGGCAGGCAGAGAGGAGTAAATTACTGATGCCAATCAAAGCCAGCCACCGTCTTCACGCACAGCCTCCGGGATCAGATCAAATGTTCAGGAATTAGCCTTCAGACGTGGGCGTAACAGAGCTAAAAATGCTGCTTTTTAAAAAATATATATATTTTATTTTTTTGCTGCTTATTAATTAGCATTTCCAACATGTATTTATATATTTTATTTATAATTTTATATTCGTTTTAAGTGTTTGTGAATTCAGACGTGGGCGTAACAGAGCTAAAAATGCTGCTTTTTAAAAAAAAAAATTTTTTATTTTTTTGCTGCTCATTAATTAGCATTTCCAACATGTATTTATATATTTTATCTATAATTTTATTTTCGTTTAAAGTGTTTTTGAATTCAGACGTGGGCGTAACAGAGCTAAAATTGCTGCTTTAAAAAAAATATATATATTTTATTTTTTTGCTGCTTATTAATTAGCATTTCCAACATGTATTTATATATTTTATCTATTATTTCATAATCGTTTTTAGTGTTTGTGAATTCAGACGTGGGCGTAACAGAGCTAAAAATGCTGCTTTTATTTTATTTTATTTTATTTTATTTATTTTTTGCTGTTTATTAATTAGCATTTCCAACATGTATTTATATATTTTATCTATAATTTTATTGTCGTTTCAAGTGTTTGTGAATTCAGACGTGGGCGTAACAGAGCTAAAAATGCT